CAGGGGTGGTTACTGTGCAGCCAAAGCACTTATAGGTGGAGGGTTTCTCTGCAGCATGAAAGTGTTGCCCCGATGTCATTATCAACGGCCTGTAGTGACATGTGGGTGGGGATCCTCCCAAGAAGATTCTGAGTTGAAACACTGGAAGGAGGACACTGAATATACTGTTGATCCAACGGTGAATTTCCAGAGGGAACGGAAAAATCACTGTTCTTTCCAGTGCGCCTTGAGAGTTGGAGGGTAGAAAACTCGAGGATTTTAGTTGAGTACAGGATCCTGTTAATTGATGTTATACTGCAGCTGAGGAGCCATCACATCTCTCTCTCTTCCTTGCTTCTTTGTTGAGGTCTGTTACATGCACCATTAGAAGATTTTTTTTTTTTCTTTTAACCTGTAAGCGCAGCAGATGTGGTGACAGAGGCCTCCTTACTGTGCTCAACCCATCCAGGCTCTCATTGATGTGTGTCTCAGGGCTGTTCTCTTCTGCTCTGTTGTGCAATAACACATCAGAGCCTTCTGATGCTCTTGGCAGAGTCTGTGCTACATTCTGACTTGCCCAAGGGACAGTACTACTCCTTTTTTTCCCCTTTTCTCTACTTAACCTACCTCCCCGCTCCTGTTGCATTACAAGTGATTCAAACAGTGAACACTGAGACCCTAAATAGAACAAAAACTTTGTGTGAATCCCAAATGTGTTGGAGCTGAATATACTTCTGTTTGAAACAAGACTTACAAAGAGACAAGGTAAGTCTGCTATGGGAGGAAGAATAGGGGAAAGAGAGAAGTGAAGGGCATCTGCCTATAACAGGAATTACCTTCTTCCTAGTAGAAGAGAAGAGATTCTGGCTGCCAGTCTTCTTACAGAGGATTGACTCAAAGAAGAGCAGCAAATATCTGAGCAGGAGTACTGTTGCTCTTCAGCAGACAGACTGGCCGCAAGAGCCGATAAGGGAAAGTGTCTGTGCTCAAAAGCAGCTCTGCGGTGAGGAGCTAAGAGTGTCTTTCACTGCAGTCATTTCAGTTTAAAAAGTAGGGAGGTATCTGTAAAAGCTGGTGATGTCACTTTTCATCCTTTGGCTATGATAATCCTTGGGAGAGAAAATTGCCTGAAAACCAGCCTGTATGCTTTACACCACTTTCACATACAGCCAATCATATGGCTTTATGTCCAATTTAAGTGTCCACTTGATATGCTTTTCTGCTTGGTTTTGAGGCTGTAAATGTGGGTGTTCAAGGCTGCATTCTCTTCTTGTTGTTTTAGGAAGCATAAGCCAGTGCGTTCAGGTCACAAAATGAGGAGCTTGCATGCAAATACTGCGGCTGCTAGTTACAGCCTCCTGCGTTTGTTACTAGGGAAGTTCTAGTGACACTATTGTATTATGAAATTATGGATGTTTCAAGACTCACCGTAGTGAGTACGTTATGTCCTAGTAAGGGATGCAAAGGCTGGGATCTTTAGAAAAAAAAGGCTCTAGAGGCTATTGCAAAAATGGTGCTGTTTTCCCGTTAATGTTGAAATAGATCTCATGCCCAAACTGTTCATCACTGTTAAATCCTGGAGCACAAATGGGGATAAAGTGGCTAAGCCCAAGCAAGAACCACAGTTCTGTCTGTCTGTGTAGCTAAGAGTTTGAATTGCTCCTCCATTGGGAAAAAACATGGATAATTTCCTGGCTAGTGTGAGAGGACAGCCGGCAGATGGGATGCGAGAGGCTAACAGTTGATTGCAGCAGCAAATATGTGACACATCTGGTTTGGCCTCAGGTTGCTTAGGAGTGGTAGCAGCAGTGTCCTGTTGGAGCTCGGGGGCAGAGAGGCATTCAGCCAGTTTGGACCTTTGCTCTGAAGATTTATTTTGTGTGTGTAGTTGTCACTGAAGGGCACTGGGCATATGAAGCTGGATTTAGAAGCTGTTAATCCTGAAAACTCCAGGGCATAGCTGTCCTCACTTTCAGGAGGGGGGTCTGCCTTACAAGCAAACTACAGAGACACGGGTAGCCATAGATTTAAGCGTTCTTTTTCCACGGTGTTCCTGTTCCTTAGAGCCACTTGAGCAGAGGCTGGTGCAGAATCTGCTGGTGTGAAAAAAGATCGGTTGCTCTTTGAGCGTTGATGTAGTGTGTATCCTAATTAGGAGCACTGCAACTTTTGTAGGAATGTATGATTTCTGAACAGTTGGATAAATTTCTGTGCAGTGCACACAGTGACTGTAAACCTGGTGGATTAGTTCTTCTGACCAGCTCTGAGCCCAGCACTGAGTTTCTTCTTCATGTGAAGCACGTCCCTCTCCTTCCTAGTTCTTAGGGAAGGAATAGCATGGATCAACTGTGAGTGGGCTATGATGCAGTGCAATTCAGGTATAAAGATTGATTTCATGCAGTGGTAATCGCATCTTCTTTCTAACTGGAACAGGAAAATTAAACGTGAGCAAATTCATCGCAACAGCTGGAACAAACGTAGGAGCTGTTGTTAGGGTAGAGCAGAGCAACTGTTCTCCTTCAAGTGTTGTCACTAATATAGAGCAGTGCAAGTGCTTCAGAGTGGTATCTGAGAAATACTGTAGTGAGCAGTTGCAGGGTACTTGTCCCTGTCAGTCAGTGAGTGCTCGTGCTCTAGACAGATGATGGTTGTACTTGTTCTTTTAAAAATAATGTCTCCCCACCACAGGCAGCTTTCATATCCGCTGTGTTTGGATGTTCAGTGGCTTCTCATCATGCTGTGCGATCACCCACTGGCAAAGGCCTTTCAGCAGGGTTCGGGTGGGAGAGAGAAGCAGTGGGATGAACGAGAGTCTTCTCACCACCTGTTATGGGAAATCCATAGCTCTGCTACTCTGCTTTCAGAAGCCCCAACTGGCAGTAGTTGAACAGCAGCACCTGGTCACAAGGTGTGGCTATGTGGACATGTGTGGCTGAGGCATGACAAGAGGCAAACCATGCTGATAACTATTAAATAGAGACATAGCTGATAAACTGCTGTGGCAGAGGTGCAGGGCAGCTGTCTTCAGTCCAAGGCACTTCTACTTTTTTGCTGTGGAGGCTTGGTTACCTTGGCAACCTGTTTTTAGCTGGATCTCTGCTCCAGTGGAGAGCCCATCTGTACCTGCTACTTCTTTGTTTTGAAATGGCTGTTTTACAGAAAAATACCTGACAGGAGTACTTCCAGAGCTGGATTATTGTGGATTCCAGGCTCTGCTTTTGATCCCAGAAGTTTCAGTCTGATGATGAGGTGATGATGGTATGGGGAGTTCTGTGGCTGGATTGAAAAGGTATTAATATATCTGCTTAATGAGGTGGGCTGCTGTGATGGAAGGGAGAGATACTACTGCTGAGCATTAAATCCTGGAATAGCTCTGAAAGATAAATCACTTGTGTGTCTGGAGTTTGCAGAGAACTTTGTTCATTCTGGTTTGCAGTTCAGTATCAAGCTATCAGCCAGTAGATTACACTGAAGTAGCTTCTGTCTGCAAGGAGTAAATACTCACACTAGGGCTGTAGGCTTCCCTTTTGGGGGGGCATATATAAAATTTGATAACTCCTAGTGAGCTTCTAGTATTGGAAGGTAGTGGCTGCAGGACTGTATTCAGAATCTAACAATTTTGTTTAATTCCAGATCTTACCAGTTTCTTCACATTTGTCTTTTTACCGTAGGTGTGTTGTTTTTACCTTTTGTGAATGCTTTGTAATCCTGAAGGAGGGTGTGTGTTGTTTAAATTTTGCCCTTACCTCATTTTATTTAAAATGAAATAAATATAAATTTTATTTATTTAAATTTTTGCCCTTCCTGTTCCCTGTGCTTTATCTCCTATTTCATACCCTGTACATTGGGGGCTGAGATGAATGATCTGTTCCGTATTTGCTGTGGGGTTCTCCCAGACTGAAGCTGGTTTTCTCTCAGGTTACTGGGTAGTGCATAGCACCTGTGTAACAGTGCGGAGGAGAACAGATTAACAAATTCTAGTTATACCTAAAGAAATTGGAGTGATGCCTGGCGTTACTCTGTTAGATGTAGTTACCAATTAGTAGGTAATTCAAAACTTTTTAAAAAAAGTCTGTATAGCATTCCAGCTGGACTTCGCAGGCCACCTGAATTAGATGTTTTAAGTCTTGAAATCTGTTGACTTCAGAGCACAGAGTACATTAAGAATCTGTTCTAGGCAGGCACCAGCTTTCAGCCCTGAGCAGCTATAATGCACAAGAAAATAGCTTGCTTTTTTGAAATTTTTAAGAACTAGAAAAAACAAGATAAAGAACTGTTTTATTCAAATGTATGGAATACAAATGTTTATTGTAAAGTCTGTTTGATTAAAGCTCTTTCAGTCAACCTTTTTGTTAATTCCCGCTGTCACTAACTGGTTTTGGATGGTTACAGCAGAAGCTTGTGTTGTGTGTTTTGTTTGTTTTTTTTTTTTAAGACAAGTGTGAACCAGATCTGTAGTCCTTACTGCACAGCCCTAGATAACTGACACAATAAAGTACTACATCCTTCCTTGGACTGTTGCAGCAGCATTGACATAGAGATACAGAAAAGTTATACTGTGTGGTTTTTTTGTTACTTTTTTTTAACTGTGTGTATCAACAAGAGTGACAGTTTGGGGCTGACTGTGCATACATCATGTTGGTGATGTATGAAGCAGAAATAAGACAGTTGGATTCTTCAACCCCAAAGCTCACTTCAGGATCTGGCAGATAGTCAGTTCACAGGAGATTTTTCTAAGCTAACAAGAGACCTTGAGCCTGAGCAGATTTGATTGGGAAGTCAGTGAAGGAGAATAAATGTGGGAAAGTAAAATAGCTGTCACTTTCCTGTCCAGCACAGTATTTTAGCCACAAAAGAAGCCGAAACCAAACCCCACATGTAAATCGATGTATTTCTGAGGGGTCAGCAGCTGGCATTTAGTTTAGTTTATACTAGGCAATGAAAACACATCTGTATTTAAGTGACTTGAGAATGGTTTTGCTTTTAATTTTATTTTAAAAATATGTATTATTTTCTCCTAGCTTTGATCAGCTTGTTGAAGTTCCTCATGTCTAATGAGACTGTATTGCTGGCCAAGCACAACATCTTCACCCTTGCTCTTATGGTGAGTACAGACAAAGCAAAATTTTGAACAACTTAATTTTGAATTAATCTTAACAAAGAATGCAGCATTTCTGGCCTGGTAAGGAAATGCCGGAACAAGGCCACAAAGCGGAGCAACATCATTGTAGTTGGTTTCACTAGAAGTTTGGAAAGGGCAGTGCTTGGACTCACTGTGGGGTCTACTCTTTGAAATAAACAAGTCTGTGTGAGGAAGGGCTTAGTTTTAATTTTCCAGATTTAGTAATATTTTTTCTTGTTCTATAGCCCTTTGTATACAAAACAATAGAAACCTGTTTTCCTGGCCCCAGATGCCATAGTATTTAAGCTTCTTGTCTGTCTCTTCTGCACTATAAAGAAAATAATAAATAAAACAATGAAGTAATGTAATACTGTGTAATGCAACTGAGATATTTCGCTGAAGGTTTTGGACGTAGTTTGTATTGTTTCTGGTGCAGAATGGATTTTGTGTAAATATTCCTGTTGTAACTTCTTTTCACTTCCTTGTATAGGTTGTGAACCTGTTCAACATGTTCATCACTTACGGAGACACCTTTCTCCCCACTCCCAGCAGCTATGATGAGCTGTATTATGAAATTATTCGGATGCATCAGAATTTTGACAACCTTTATTCTATGGGTGAGTACCTCCTGACTGGTCAGGACTACTGTTGACTGGAAGATGAGGGTGGTGGTGGAGGGATGTTTGTGTCAAGTGTTTTCTGTCCACCTGCTACTAATATGTGTCTTGGTGAGTGAACATGTTTTGTGTACTAGGACACGTTTGGTAAATTAAGAATTGAGAGAGGGAAGAGATGATAATTTTTTTTCTAGTCAGAAAAAAAAAAATACAGGAATAGATCCATTGCCTCTCTAGCAGCCAGTTTCTGTGGAAATATAAATTTGTGGACACCACTGAGTATGTGGTATTTCACGCATCTTCGTGTAGTTTGCATCTATTATATTTGACAGTTTCAAGTCAGAAGACGGGTACATGCTGCAGAAACAGCCAGAATGGAGAAACACTCAATGCAAACAAAAATTTGGAAAATAATTTGAGAAACTTATAACAAGAAGTTTGCTGTGCTAGACAAGTCACATCTATGACACTCATTGCCAAAACAAACCAAGAAAACATCCCTCACAAACCTGCTTGCAATGTCAAGTGAATCACTGGACTGAAGAATGTGTCTATTGGCAAAACAGGGAGAAGCTGCCATCCTTCAAAGAGAGAGAGGCATGCTGGAGTGCCACCGAGTGCTACTCAACAGGGAAAAGAGGGACAAAGGAGAGCAAGGAATACATGGAGGCATAATCAGGCAGTGTATACACAGGAGCCTGCAGCCAAGGGTAGCTGCAGCAGCACTGGTGTAGTGCCTACATGCTTGAAGCTGTGAAGAAAAGAATATAGCTGTGTTCTTTGTTTGCTTTGTTGTAGAAGGACCTTTCTTCCCTTCACCCCCTGCTCCCTTCTCAGTATGATCACCCAATGAACCAGAGGAGTTAGTATAAGCATATAAGGGGAGTTAAAGGGCAGTGGGAGACACACAGTTGGCCTCAGCACTCTTCTGACACGGAAGAGAACCATCCTCACCTAAATAAAAGTACCTGAATACTCTCTGCAACTGCAAGCAAAAATTAACTACCCTTTTGTACAAACTTCCTATAGTTTTCATGCATTACGTAAGGGATCAGTTGATCATTTTTGTGCCCTCTGAGCACATAAGATTTTTTGCTAACCTGTTTCCTACTCCCAAAAATTGCATCTAGTAAGATGAGATGCTTTTACTAGCCAGTAATTTTTCAAACCTATCCCCTGTGGGAGCTGAAGGAAAGTGGAATGGAAGAATAATGCGCTCAAATACTTACTCGGAAGGGCTGCAATAGGCACATCTGACCTGTTGAAACAATTCATTTGTCACATGGATGTTTTTCCATCCTGCTACACAAAGCAAACCCCTTTGAATTGATGTTGTAGATGCCTGAATGGAAACCCTCTCTGAATACATTACTTAAGGTATTCAAGTACAGTACCTGCTGTTTGACAGAATAATGTTACTCAGAGCTGACATCTTTTTTTCTGCGGATGACATGTAGTGGTAGCACTAGGAAGTGATAAGGTAGCACTGTCTCGAGTTGATGAAAGCCACAGTTTAACCAGGTGTCCTGACAAGCTTCCCTTTGCTTGTCAGTCCATCTCACTGGGTCTACAGTCACCCTTCTGTCCCCCAGCCTTCAGACATTTGTTAGCACAGATGAGAAAACTGCTCTATCCTTTAGTTTTCCTGTTAATGTGATTGAAACTTTCCATGTTGAGAGTGGAGGTGGAATCTAACTGCCTTGGTTTTTGTTTATTTATTTTTCTTGTCCTCAATCTGAATTTTATCCTGATCTCCAGGACTGAAAGCTTCCCTCATGCAATAATAAGTATGAGTGTGCAGGCACTGTGTTTATGGATTCACTTGTAGCGTCTGTATTTCTAGATGATCCTAAAATCAGGTGATGGACGTGTTGTTCCTTCGCTTCTAAGTTGAGGGTGAACCTTTCTTGTGGAATGTAACCTCCAGAAAACCCTGCATAAACAAATTCATAGAAAATTCCCTTCTATTCGGGCAATGTGAAAATTAATCCAGATATATGCTACAGGATCTGTTACTGTTGGTACTTACCAAGAAATGTGCAGGTGACTGGCACCATAGAAACACTACAGATTCTGACCTAAATAAATATTTTGGTACTCTGGTAGAGAAGAATTTGATTCCCTAGAAGTTCCTCCTGTTGCAGAATGTTTTCAGATCTGCTCCCAAGTCTGTCAGAGACCATCTGTGCAACAGAACACCACCCTCGTTCCTACAGGGAGTGTTTTTCCCTAGGCTGGTGTGTAATTCCTCTCTGCAATTCCAGATAAATGGGGAGGTAAAGAGTCCATCACTGCTGGGGTGGGTTTAAATTGCAGGACATAGTCCAACTCAGATGGAAGTTTGCATAAACAGGAGCTGGAGGAGAACAGTGCTGTGTGGAATAAAAGGTATTGTAGAACTGGGATGTTACCCTGTTTCTGGGAGAAGCGAACTTTAATGTGTGGTGATGAAAGCAGTTAGGACCTAGGCTCTTCTGTCCCCTCTGCTTCCTGTCTCTCAGCTGTTATTTTGTTCTGCTCACCTCTTCTGTGTTCCTTATGTTTCTTAGATGGGCTTTGAAGGGAACTTCTGCCCTCAATCACAGGTCATCTCAAAGGTGACCTTTGTTTTGATGTGGTTTCCAAACTGCCATCTCACCAAAGCAGATTTTCTTGAAGTTTTGGATTAGAAAACTACGAGTTCTGCGCCAGCACTGTTAACTGTCTTTTTTTTTTTCAGTTCTAAGGCTGTCTACCAATGCTGGTCAATGGAAAGAGCCTGCAAGCAAGGTGACCCATGCGTTAGTCAATATTAGGTAAGGAGTAGAAGTTAATAACCATTTTAAAGATTTTTGTGTCCTCTGTGACTGCATTTCTATCGTGACACTTTACATTTGTTTTATTGAATTTGGTTTTGAATTGGTTCTCTTTGTGGGGTTAAATTGCTCCTCTAAACAGGGCACACTGGGATAAGGAGAGGATCACCAGGGTTTGATTGTCCTCTGTCTAATAATTCTCTTGGCTCTTCTGTAGACTGAGTGCTTTCAAGGCATGGCACAAGCTGTAATGAATTAATCCTCACAGCATTCTTGAGGGAAGTTATGCAGTAGGGAACAATGCTGTGCTGGCAGAGCAGTTGTGGACCTAATAGATTTCTGTTGCGTGATTCTATTGCAATTCTATGAAGCTATGAAGTGGACTATAAGCCAGCTGTGATAAGCAGATTCGAGGCTTCTTTTAACACTGCAAGATTTTTGTGTGTGTTTAAAACTGAAACTGATTATTTAAAGGACATTTCAGTATTCTCTTAAACCTTTTCCTCCTGTTCAAGGACAGGAAGTTATGCTCTACTTGTAAGGCCAAGGCATATCTAGGAGTGTTTTTGTGCTGTATTCCCTCACAACAGCAATAATTTCTTTTCCTGGCTTCTGAAGCAGCTAGTACTGACCATGCTGGGTGGACAAGAGGCTCATGGATCCGATTGATTGGAAAATGGAAGAGTGCTGAGAGAGGAAATTTACTGATTATCTCTGGCTTGTAAACAAACCATAAAAGATATAAGTATTTCTACTGAAAAAATATGTCCATCACTTCCCTGGTCACCCTAGACACTTGGTGTTTATGCAACACCAAGTAATTCAGTACTGCTACATTGCTAGTACTTGTCATTTTCCTTGCTACAGAAGAGATTGTGTAGGACAAACTCTGAGGGCGTCTTTAAAGTCAATATACATCTTACGTGTCTATAAACCACCTTTAAAGGTTCTCTTAGTAAGTCTATAAGCTTAATAACATCACATATGGTTCCAGAAGATTTGTTTTGCTACTATCCTTATTTTTTATTTTTTTGTAAACAGACATAAATGAATGCTTGTGGGCAGATAATGTACTCGGAGTGAAGCAGCAGAGCAGATAGCTGTTGGCAAATCAATGTCATTTAATGTGACTCAAAGTGTCTGCCCTGGGAATTCTCTGGATACCTGGGGAGAGAAGTCTACGCCGGGAAGAGATAAAAAAAGCAGGTGGTCACAGAGTTTGTGCTCACCTCTGTTTTGTGCAACCAAGATTTTGCATTGGCTCATTTCCTGTTGGCTTAACAGCTGCTTTTGTAAAGATCAGCATGCAATTGAGACAAGATACAACAAAAAACTGACACTGTGATACCCCTCCCTGGACAGCCTGTATCAGACATGTTCAGTGCATGGTGCTGTCTGGAGCCAGTGAACCCTCTAACATGTTTCTCTTCTAGGCTTTTGGTAGCTTTCCCCTGTTCCACCCAATTGCTCAACTATGTTGAAATATCATGTGGTCTTTCAGTAGCCTTAGAAGTTTTCATAAATGACTAATTTTTATTCAGTTAAATTAGATCTAAATCAGAGATGATTCAAGGCCTGGAGAGGTATTAGAATTCAGATAAGTTAGTCTGATTTATACCATTTCCTCTCTCTCTCAAAAAAAGAAAAGGGAGGGAGGCGGATATTACATCTACCTGTTTGTTTTATTCTCATGGTTAAAATATTACATTGGAAAGGTTCTTTAACTGAATAGATTTCAAAGCAACCGGTTATTTGAAGCTGGAGAAGTCCAAAGGTATTGTGCTTTTGTGAAGGTGATTGACAGTATCATGTTTCAAAGTGGTGACTAGGATTAGATGCCCTTTTTTGCAAGAACATACTTTAGAAAGTTCCAAAAGACTCATCTCTGTACAGGGAAAATGGATGATGTGAAGGGCCTGTGGTAATGTAATACTCCATTTTGGCCTAAAGACTGAATTTTGCAAATCGTGTAGGACAAGAGGATAATTCTTTGAGGAATGCCTTGAGCCTTCCGAGGTCTGAAGTTTTCTGCAGGCTGTTCAGAAAGACCGTTTTGTCCTGGTCTGTTGACTGCCTCACTTCTGCAGCAAAGTCTGTAGGAGGAATTAATACTAGGGCCACACGTTTTCTTCTGGTGTTGGACCAGGAGTAGAAACTGGAGCCTTGTGCACACATGCTTGTGACTCTGTGTTGCAGAGAGTCATGAAGATGTTGCAAGCCCAAATCACCAAAGAGAAAAGGGAGAGAAGAATAAACTGTTTAAGGCTGTCAGGCTGATGGCTTTATTAGAGAAACGCAGTATGTTAATGACTGACAATGTTACCATGAGATGTATTTATTTTATGCATTAATAAGGACGTGCTGGTGTGAACTAGCTTAGCTCCTCATTGTCAGAATTGCTTGTTTGTTTATGCCCCTTTGGTTCCTCTTAGAGTGGTCTTAGCATACTGTTTGTTATTTGGATGCCTTTGCCATGAAAGGGATGAGTTTAGAGAAATCCACCTCACGTTAGGTTTTTCCCTCAGCTCGTTCCATCATTCTGGAAAGTTTTTCCCTTTCATCCCATGAGCGATGATTACCTACTTTTTGCTGTGACAGTGCAGTGCAAAGTCATGCGTTGGTTTATATCTTCATCTCATTACAACAGCTATTTAAGAATAAATGAATAAATAAATAAATATTTTCATTTCCTTATCCTAAGGCTTTTGGTGGGAAAGATTACAAATGTAAAAACATCTGTGTGTGCATGCATGTGGTGGACTTTAAGAAGTGCCTTAAATCCTAGTGTACAATCTCATGGATATTTCTGCCAGGAGAGCAGTGGTGAGTTACTTACAACTTTTCAAGCCTGCAATGCATTTGTGTTACAGGAGTGACTTGGGGTCCTGCTTGTACCCCACAGTGCTGGATTGGCGAGGTCACCTGGTTAACTGCTTTAATACAGAGTCAGGATGAGTAATACCTGGAGAATCTTTGGCACGTTCTTGTTAACAGCCGCAGAGAGACGTCCCACTTTGTGTATCTTATTATGGCATTAACTGTACTTTTTAGATGGATCCTATTTTCCACTAGGCAGTCTGATTGAGTTTTGTGGTTGCTGATTATCTGATTTTTCTAGTCCTTACTCCAGTGAAAAGAGCAGTCATGAATGTTCTTTTTGAGTATTGAGAGACAAGGAGACTATTCCTACGTTCTCTCCACATCTTTCCTTTTTACAGATAATTCATAATTTCTATCCAACCTAAAGAAAACGAAAATTTGAAGAAGATAGAATAATAACAGCCTTATCTGGCTGAAATCTTTCTTACTATACTAGAATGAGTGATCTCTATTGCTGTCTTATTCCATAATAGTGATTATAACTTCTATTTGGGTTTGTCTCTGTGGTTTACATAAATAATTGAGACATGATGGACTGCAAGATATAGCTGCAGCACTGACGGGGTTGAAATAAGAAGCTGTAGCAGTTAGTGGTTTGAAAACTCACCTTCTCACCTATGAGGAAATAAGCGCGTTTTGAGAAAAGTAATTTTTTTTAAGCTAATGAGCCTCTTTAAGACAACATTGTGCAGGTTTGCATTTAATGAGAACTTTATTAATGCAGGGTTCAAAGGGGCATCTTCTGATTGCTTACGCAGTGAGGAAGGTGGCAGCTGAATCCCTGTGTTCTTTTAACAGACTTTCTCCTGATCAGGATTTTTTCAAGGTGAATAAGTAGATTAACTGAATGATTAATATACTGAATTTCCCCATTGTCTGAAATTCAGTTCCATCATAATTTTTAAAGTAATTTTGGTTTTCACACTGAAACACTTTTAACAAGCAGAGAGTAAGTTTGTAGTATTAAGCTAGGTGATAGGATTTTTTTTAATTATTATTAAAAAAGTGTTTTATGTGCTGTGGTAGCACATGCTGCGGTCCTTGCTTGAGCACTTTCATTCACTCTTCCATCTTGCAGCTACGTTTGTTCAACATGAGCCACCCTGTGTGATACTCTTTGTACAGAAGGTGCTGTTTCTCCCAAGACTGCTTTTGGGGTAGTAAAGGAGAGATTGGGAATTTAGGAGGAGTGCTTAAAGCATCACATGGATGTGAAAATGGTTATGCTTGCTGCCAGTCTGGGCAGGAGCACTCTGAAGCATTCTCATTTACAATTTTGTTTAGGTGAAAGAAGGCCAAATTGGGCTGTGCTGCTTTGTCACAGGATACCTGGCATCCCTGTTCTGAAGCTATAGCTCATGTTAAATTACCAGCACTCCATAGAACTGCACTTAGTGAAAACCTTGACAGAGGAGGTGACGGCTCTGTTCCAGTGTTTGTCAGAAAGTGCGTGGCTGCAAGCAGTCACCATAGTACCTTCAGCATTGTTCCGCTTTACTGCAAGGAATTTAGCATCTGTTCATGGGGAGGGAAGAGCTAAATGCTGCTAACCTAGTCATGTTGTAATGGATGGCTGTAGCATTTATGCAGGATATATGAAAGGGGACCTGCTGATAGATAAGTGCTTCTGTATGGAGTGGAGGCCTATGGATTACAGTCAGCTGAGACTGTGTAAAAAATATTTATATATATACACACACTTTTCTTCCTTCTTTCTCCCTCTCTGTACAGATAATGGACACACACACATACTCCTGCCAATATGAGTAAGAGAATGAAAAAGGGAGGGAAAATTTAAAGCCTATTTATGAAAATAAACGTGCATATATATAAAAAATATGGATATCTGTGTACATTACAAGTATATGCACATATATGAATGTGTGAATCCATATATCTATGTATAGATGTCTGTATATATATAAGTATGCATATACATACATATTAACACACATGCATACACTTATATATATTTTTATATATAGAATGCACACACAAACATCTTGCCCTTGACAACGGGCTAATCTAAAGCTCTAACTTCCAAGCTGAAAAAAACAAGACACTTGGTTGTTTAAAACTTCTCTGAGATGAACCACGAGTGTTGGCTAAGGATGCTCAGCAGTT